GAGGTGAGAGCTGGGGGGGGGACGGTGACGTGTGCTGGGCCCTCGCCAGCCCATTGGTCAGGCCCGGAATGGGTGGGGCCTCAGCCTAGTTCCGTAGAACTCTTAGGGCAGCAGGGGCGACTTGGTGCGTCCGGCCTGGCTCCGGGCCGGGCTACCCCGGGGGTGGGATGCAGCGCTGCTGACCTGTGCACCGGTATCAAGGATCCTACTCTTCCCTGATTTAAAAAAATAAATCCAAAACTTTGATTTAAAAAATCCCCCAAATCCACATTTTTTTGTTATTAAAATAAAGTGCCACTTACATATTAGAGTCATTTAGTTTTTCTGTGGTTAAAACAATTTTTCCATGATTAAAATGAAGTGCCTGTGCCTACACACACACACTTATTAGGGATAGGCATTTTAATCACAAAAAAATGCGCATTTTGGTTGGTCTGTTTTTCAATCCCAAATATTCTGATTTGTCAGAGACAACCAGGATCCCTGATGATAATTGTCATATTTGTACAATAATTTCAACCCTTGTACAATGTACAATCAATAATAGTAAATGTGTTCAAAACATACAATAATTTTTGAGGCAGCATATGCAAAACCCAAGTCACTCTCAGAAAGCCTTAACTAATATTTTGGTTTGCTGTCAGTTCTCTTACTACTGCTTGCCTCAAAATAAATAAATGCTTTAGTTTTGACCCAGTTCCCACTGGCTCTCATGACTTAGTACACAATGTAAAGTAAATAAGAAGATGACTTATTTGCATATGTATTTGCATGGGGTTTTTTCAGCGCACGATGGTTTTTCAGCAAACACGCTAATTTGGAGCTTCCAGTATAACAATTTCATATTCAAGACCTGGCAACACTGGCAGAAAGGGCTGCGGGGCCCAGCGTGGCGGAGTGGGCTAGGAACAATTCACAGCAGCCCATCTCCTTGTGCCTCTCCCTACACCCACCCCCAAGAGCAGGAGACCCCTGGTCTCGCTCCCTCTTCTGTTCTTTGTAAGGGTGAATTGGGGATAGCCAGCTCAAGTGGTGCTTAAGAGCCAGACTCCCTTAGGCAGCAGTGGGAAGGAATTAAACCACCCTGTGGCCCTCATCATCAAGTGCATTGTGGCTGGTTTACAGCAGGGGCGGGCAATTATTTTGGGCGGAGGGCCGCTTACTGAGTTTTGGCAAGCCATCGAGGGCCACATGATAGGCAGCTGGGGACAGATAATTATTAATTTTTCTAAATTTTTTTAGGGGCCCTGTAGGCCAGATAGAATGGCGTGGCAGGCCACACTTTGCCCACCCCTGGTTTACAACATGTGCTGAAGGTGCTCTTTTAAGTTCCTGACTCACATTTGGTTCCCCAAAGGGAGGTAGTAGCTCTCTTTTCCCCAGAGGACACCTGTGCCACACATGCTTTGGTGCATGGCAGGTTACCTCAGGGGTAGTAGGGGAGGCTAGGGCCAGCACTGTGCTGGCCACAGCAGCCTTACCCAGTTCCTGGGAGCTTCCCGGGGCTGCAGCAGTAGCAATCCTGCCAGGCAGAGCCTGGCTGGTAGCACAGCGCCGCTCCAGGCAGCCCAGCTCCACTTTTCTGCAATGCATGCCGTCTGTGCATGCACTGCTCTGGGTTTTTTTTCCCCGCAGGTATCCAGGGGTCAAAAAAACCCGCAGAAAAAAACCCAGAGCAGCGCGCGCACGGGCAGTGCAGCCATGCAGCACGGAGGACACCTGACTCTGTTGTATGTGGCGCTCGACATGCGTTTGCGGCACCACAAACCTCATGGCCGCGTTTGTCTGGACACACCCGGTGTAATTATTCCCAGACCTGATAACGTGGTGACCAGGTGTTCAGCTGTCATGGCAGTGGGCCCTGTATAACAACCCTTCAGGTTGTTATAGTACCTACCTGCCAACTAAGCCTGTAATCCAAGATAAAGTGTTGCAGTCATCTCCCCCTGCCTGCCCTAGAGAACATAACGGGCAAAAGAGAAGCAAGTTCTTAGTTACTAGAAATCTGCAGCGAAATGATTGCAGAAATAACAGTATCTTAGTAAACCTGCTTTCATGTCAACTCACCATTTGTGCGCATTTTGTTTTGTAGGCTTAAGCATCTCTGCCTCATCCTCCTTGCAAACTGACAGTAGCAAAGGGAATTTTTCCTTATCGGGGAGTAAGAAGCTCTTTTTTGACACTCATGCTCTTGTGCGTCTCTTGGAAGGAAATGGTAAGAACATAAGAATTACTGATTACTGGGTCAGGCCATAGTTCCATTTCGCCCAGTATCCTTTGGTGCACTTGTTTTGAACCTTTGCCCTTCACTCCATCCCTGCTTTCTTCTTTAGTTGTCTCCAGTAATCACTTGATGTGCATTCAGTGTCCCAGTTTGAAAGAGGGCTTTTAGCTTTACTTGGTGGGCATTGGTCCACATTCCCAAGGCATGTCAAATAAGCCTATGTCACACAGTGGCAGAGAGTGGATGCTAACAGGGTGAGTGAACTGGATCTAATCAGGGTTTTTTCCCAGTGTTCCTCTCACTTGCAGCATCCAGCAGTTAAGGTCTAGGAAATTCTGATTCAGAGGCTGTACCTCTAACTCCCATGCTCAATAGCTACTGATGCCCCTTTCCTCCAAGCATTTGTCCACTTCCTTTTTGAATCCAGCTGAACTGTCAGCTTCTACATCTGGTGGCAATGAGTTCTACATTTTAATGACACTCTGGATGCATCTACATGTGCATTAACGTGCGTTTCCTAATGCACACTAAATTTAGTACCGCCATTGTGAGGCACTAAATAAATGCTCATTAGGCTGCTGTAATGCACCGTACCGAGAGTGCCTGTTTTTTATCTGACACTTGATGTGCAGTCACTTATTTTACTGTGCATTAGCATAATTGCATGCTTTTTTTGACACTTTAATGCTCAATAAAATAGGCTACTGTGCATTTAAGTGCACATGTAGATGTGCCCAGTATGTCAAAAAGAACTTCCTTTTGTTAATTTTAAACTTACTGCATATGTTACAAATTATACAAATATGTAGGGAGACCTAAAACTTACTATTGCCAAGGTCAGGTTTCATTACTTGCTTATTTTGTTAGTCTTAAATAAAGTTTAAAGACTAATTTTAATTTTAATTTAGCTTATTCGTCCAAAGTAGAAGAGAAAATGCTAATTCAAGGTAATAGTTGAGATTTTATAAAACATGCATATTGATGGTAATACAAATATCAAATCAATGCCAAATTTTAAATAACTGAACAAATTCTCATCTTAATGGAATTGCCTGGCTCAATGCCCATTGTGACAGTTAACTGTTACTTAATTTGCAGCAATTTCAACTCCACATACTTAAATAGTCATTGTATTACTGACTCTCCATGATATATTTTAAATTTGAAAAGCTGAAAGTGTTTCTGGGGGTTGTGTTGTTTTGCAAAAAGCCTTTTCATGTAACATGTTGCAGTTGGTAGAAGAACTAGTAGTAGGTTAAATCAAAATACGTTTCACTTCTCTGAGTACTGCATTTTTACAAGGATTGAAAGGCTGACATGCATAAAACCAGGCTATTTTTTTTAAATGTATTGGTGGGAGAGGTTTGCCTATTTACTGCTTTTATTTAATAAGCAGCATAGAGGTTAGGTTCTTGCCCTTGAAGTAGCAAGATTGTAACTTAACAACCTGTTTGCTCACAAAAGCACTAAGCATGAGAGAAAGATAATTATGTTTATAAATGCATCTATGCTCCCTCCCCCAAAAATTCCAACATAAAATGTTGTTGTTCAGAGAGAGAGAGAGAGAGAGTGCTGTGCTATAGGAACATTTTGGTTGGTTTGTTTTTTGAGTTATGTTGGGGCCATCATTTTGAATGTAGAAAATTTGTTCATTATGTGTACTGTAATGTCATGTTCTGCTCTTAGTTCATCATGGAGACAAGTATGTTTGTAGCTTTTGTCATGATTCTTGTAATATTTCTTTCATACTGAATTAATAAGAGGCATTTCTAAAAGATCTTTATATAGTTTTGCTATCCTATTTTTAGGGGTTTTTTTCTGCTCCGTTTAGGATTCACTACTCTGCAGTCCGAGATTATTGTATCTGCTTTAGTGAAAATCACAGACACCAATCTAGATCTTATTTACAAGGACATGGTCACGAAAGTGCAGCAGGTAAGTACAGGACGGCAGTGGATTTAAAGAAAATCAAAATCTAGTGTTCCTACTAATAAAATAATTTGTTGAAGGAACAGCTTTGTACTAACCCTTAAATTCTTCAAAAGCAAAGAAATTCAGAGTTAAAATGAGAGAATAAACATCACCATATATATGTTGGATAATTGAGTTATAGTGTGGTAAAAACTATTGTAAATTTCAGTCTGCACAGCTTAAATACAGACTGTTTGCAATATGTACCTACATCTTTGGATTGGAATAAAGCTGTCTTGAGTGTTTTTAGATGACAGTGAGAAATGTAATATGTGATGCGCACAAGTCACTTATGCCATAGGAAGTATAGTGGATAGGTGCAGATCTTCCACAGAAAACGTATTACAAGGATGAAGGGGTTTCTTCAGTTACCTTATTTACCCAAATCTAAGCGTACTGAAAAAATTCAAACTTGAACTGAAGATGACCCATCCCCCAATAATTAGATTCTATACTTGGAAAATGTATAAATTTGTTATAGTTTTCCATGTATAGATTTTAATTATTGGAGGATCATATTAAATTTCTGCACACCACCACTGCAGCAGGGGAAGCAGGGGTTAAGGGGTCAGGAGGTGGGGGAGGCAGTAGGGGTGCAGGCAGCTTGGCCCCTGCCACATCCCACCCACTTGCCCCCACCTCTCTTCCCTGTCTCCTCCCACCCCTCCAATTCTTGCCTCCCACTAGCTATCATTAATAGTGCAGTTCCTATAGGTTCTTCATAAATGTCTGTTTTGTGCTGGCTCTGTTAACTTGGTAAGATTTAAGATGGTTAACTTGAGCTCAGATCGTAGTTGCTTCACCACATTCCTTTAAAAATGCAGGTGCCAAATCCAAGATGTATAAGGTTCTAAAACGATTGCCTTCAGTCTCATATACATTGAAATGGCCTATGCACAAAATTTGGACATAGATGAGAAATTTAAGAATATTGCATTTATGCTTAAGCTGAGTTCTTCTTTCAAAGGAAATCGCTCTTCAGCAAATAATGTCTCATATTGGTGGTGTGAAAAAGGACATGGTAATTTTGGAGAAGAGTGAATTTTCAGCACTCCGGGCAGAAAATGAGGTAAAATCCAACATCCTGCAAACAATAATAGCACTGTTTTATAGGGGATAGAGAAGCAATTTTTTGTTTCTTGTGACTATATTATTTGACTATATTTCTTGTGACTATATTACAAGAGAAAAAAACTGAGACACCCTATCCACCTGGCCATGAAGAATAGCATAGTGAGAACACGTGATGTAGAAGAAAATTCTACATCAAGTGTTGTTTTTTGTTTTAAAATTTGTGTATGTTGC